TGGAATACGTTATTCTGTTTAAACTGTGGTCCAAACGAACAGAGGTTCTGTTGGTTCCGGCTCGGTTCTGAGAAATTCGAACGAGTTTGTTTTAAATGGTTTAAAGGACGTTTTGCCACGGAGCGCCGTCTCCACTAAGCCCAGAAATTGATTTGTTACATTTTTTAACAGAAAAAAGTGCATTTTGACAGTTTAAAAGACGAAAAGTTGACGGACTTGTTCAGATAAAGCGAACATGCTAGTTGGAAAAACGGTCCGTGATTGGTTTAAAACGGCTGAGTTGGAACGCTGTGAGTCGCTGAGGAGTGAGTGACGTGCCTACGTCACTTCCTCTGACCCCGTTGTTGCTCTGTCATTGGTGGATTCAGTCACGTGACCCGGAAATATGTTCGGTTGCACCGAACCTTCTCTGTGCTTAAAATCTGCTTTTTAAAAGTTGAAAAACGCTTTAAAGTTGATTCTGATACGATGCTCCGTGTCTTCGAAGCATAATCGCTAAAATTTTGCCACGTTACAGTTTAAAATCCGTCATTAAATGATGTTTTTGAACAACGCTAGCGATGCTAATTTTAAGCTAACAGCTAACGACCGGATGAGTGACGTGTCACGTCACTTCCTCCATGTCAGAAATGAGCTCGGTTGCAACCGAAGCCTTCGCTGTGCTTAAAATCACTAAATGTAACTTGCCACATGCCCCTAAAACTCATTTTCATGCAAAGAAGTCGTGCTTGTTGAAACAACGCCACGTTTACGCTTTAAAACCGTTCAGAAATGTTGATTTTAACCGAGTCTAGCCGAAGCTGATTTTAAGCTAAGCGGCTAACAACAGGATGTCAACAGAACATCACAGGAAGTCGTCATAGACTCCTGTTGGTAGAAAGCTAAACACTGCCCCCTCCTGAGGAACTTGAGATCACAGTTTCACTATGTTTTAGGTTATTTTTGAGTGAAATTAAACGTATTTTCTTTCTGTAAGGCATTTTTGAGTTAATAAACACTCTTCAAAGCTGAATAATCACTGTTATCTTGCATTTAAAAAGTAATTAAGGTATTTATGCAAGAAAGGCATTTACCAGGACATTTTTCATTCACTGAATTCCTCAAACAAAAAGGTACAAAATGAAAAATTAGAAACTTTTTAAAAGATACGGTTCAGATATTCACAGAGTTGATAAGTTTACTCATTTGCTGGAAAGATAATGCACGTTTAATTGCTAGATCATTAAATAAGAGTAAATATATCGGGAAAAAGAGACTTTTCTGATTTTATTTACCACCTAAACAATTACATCTCCTATTTAAATTTTTAAATAGCAGATATTGGCAGGATAACAGGAGTACAGTTTTTCTGAAAAAAGACTGAATATTCCTCATCATCAATTTTATTTTCTCTTTTCACCCACCTGGGTTGATGAGTAACTGTTTAAAATAGCGAATTTCTGGAAGTAAACGGTTTAAAAAAGGTTTTAAACTGATGTTGCTGTGAGACTAAAAAGAAAAATTGCAGGTTTATAAAAATTCAGTGCTTTAGAGTGAAAGACACTGAGACGCTTGGTAATCTAGTATCTGTTAAAAAAAATAAGCACATAAAATGTAACACTGCATAGAAGCATTTACTTAAATATTCATGAATTGGGGTAAAACCTGGACAGGTGCCCACATTTGAATAAGTTGACTTATAACAGTACTTTTGTGTAAACCCAAAGCTAAAATAGTGTGAAACTCATTGACATTTGAATACAATTATTTACCTGTAAAAATATCTGAAGCTGGCAATTGTTTTATCCAGAAAAAGTGCTGAACGGTGAATAACCATGACAGGTGTCAGGGAAAAAGATTTTGATCCTTATGAGATGAAGGACTGTTTAGAAGATGCGTTAGCGCTGCTGACAGCATCCTTACATCCATATGGCAAACAGGCGGACAGCATGAACCCAAAAGAGTTATTGGACAATCTGATGGAGGTTGCAGAAGGTGTGACCTCTACAGAAATTACAATGTCAAGTTATGAAAAGCTGGCTAGAATTGCAATTTTGCTGAAAGAATCATTCTATGCAGTTGTTAAGAAAGCTGATGACCTTGCACTAAGGTTATACAGTGAAAAAGTGTTTGCTCAGGAAATTGAAGGTCACTACCTTCAATTTAAAAGCGAACACGAGGTCCTCACAAGAAAACATTATGAACAGATGTTTCAATTACAGCAATATGCACGTGCAGAAGTTGATTCAATGAACAGCAAAATACAATTACTTGAGGCATCACTATCTGAAGCCAGGGATGCTAAAGATGTGCTTAAAACACAACTTAACGAATGCACACTGATAAAAGAGGGATTACTCCAACAATGTCTCCTTTTACAACGTGAATGTCGGACATCACAGGAACGCCTGAAGGCTTGTGAGGAGAAACTGGCCGCAGCAACAAATAAAAGTTCTGACGTGGGGCGAGTTTGTCTGGAACTCAGAGAAGACCGTGGACAGAGTCCGGGTCACCCACAACCACCCCAGAAAGATGTTGTTGCACCTCTTGCTTTTAAGCCCATCCAACCACCCTCACCTAAAGTGGTAGGAACATACCTGTACAGGTCTCCTCCACCAAACATGCAACAGTGTGCTGTAAATGTGTTCGAGGCATGTTCTCATGTTAAGACGCCCATAGAAGTGTTTCCTGGTGTAAAGGTTAAACCCCACTCCCCAGACCTGGAAGGACGGCGTGCATCGCCACCTCCTCCTAAAACAGGCGAGAAAAGGCAGTATTTTCAAACTAACAAACCACGTAATGAAGGTGCATGCTGGGACAAAAAGGCTCCTCTTTCAGAGGATGAACGTGATTATCGTAAATGGGATATGCGTAGGACGCAAAGATATGGGATCCAAGAGGACCCATATTATCAGGGGAAATCCGAAGAGGAACCCCCAAAAGACGTACCTAACCCTCCCCCACCTCGGACGAAACGAACCGAGGCGATAAAATCACAAAGGTCCCAGGAACAAGGCCCTACACCTCTGAGCTCGGAGGAGACAGAGAAACTACAAAGGTTTGTAGAAACTTTGAAAAACGCTGAAATGGGAATCCAACCAGGAGCACAATGTAGTGATCTGATCGCTACTACATATGAAGGCGCGAATGACAACATTACAGATGTCGGTGAAACACACCAAGACATTGCTGTTGTTGCCTCCAACAACCCCTCATCGGACGAAGGGGGGGTAAATTCACACACAAACGATGATGAGTCATCACAAACTGAAAATTCAGAACCTGATTTTCATGATTTTGAACTAGGCATTCCAGTTCTGGGAGGACTCCCAGATAACCTGGTACCGAGTCAAGAAGCTGGGCCAGTATGTTTCACGAAACCATCACAGGCCATCGCTCTTTTCTCAACCAATGACGTCGACCAAGGGCCTCAACCCTATGGTGTCTTACCCATAGACAGGTCCGACGACTCAGAAAAGGATTCGTTGCAGCTCCCCAAGGAGCAAGAACCCTCATCAGTCTCATCACAGATTGAACAGGTGGTCGCCCAAGCCGACACTCTGACATCTGATGAAGAAAGGGACAAAAATCGCCAAGTTCTTTTAAAATATGAAAAGTCATTTTCACCTGACCCAGACATCACCCAACTTCAGAAGTTGGATGATCCTACAATTAAATCGATGATACTGTATCTGACTGACCCAGACAAATACACCCCATCGAAAGGTAAACTGGATTTCAATCCAGACCTAAAAGTCCTCTTTCAGCTGCACAAACAGTTAAAACTACTCAAGGAGAACCTAACTTTAGCTCATGGAGCGACGTCCTCACCCGTGTTTGCGGTCTTCCATGACCGAAGGGGGGTGACGCCAGTTAGGATAATGCTACCAGACGCGATAACGTGAGCAAATCTGACATCAAGAGTGAGTGGCGCACCGAAACGTCGTTTTCTAGTTGCTTAATCACTGCTTTTGTCAATGTCGAAACGTCGTTTTCTAGTTGCTTAATCACTGCTTTTGTCAATGTTGAAACATTGTTTTACTGGTTGCTTAGTCACTGTTTTTGTCGATGTTGAGACATCGTTTAATTGGTTTTTGGTATTGTTTCTGAACACCCCAAGCAAGAATGAATTTTGTTGTGTAGTTAAGTTAGAGACTAAGAGGCCTTTAACCATGCCAACATGCAGTTCATTTGTTAAATTGCAATCTTTGCGGAGTCAATGTAGATTAATGCTACCTTAAGTACCATAATCTACATTGATCTCACAACGCTTAAGCCGAACCTACTCGAACAATTCTATTCGGGGGGGATAGCTAATTTTTTTTGATGAGTCTCGCCATAGACTTCCAAAACATTTATGGGGAAACCAAACACCCAATCTCAAGTCTTTTGTCTAAAAGACAACAGACAATTGAACCAAACTATATTTTACCATGTA